GCGCTCCCCCCACCCCAGCACCCCAGCTCCCCTTCCTCCGCCCTAGGCCTTTCCTGGCGGGGAAGGGGGCCCCTCGCTCCGTTTTCGATCGCCCGGGTTTCCTCGGGGACTGTAGCCTTCGAGCAGGACCTGAGAACAGGGATCCCGCCTCCCGCTCGGGGCCTGGGGCTTGAGCCATTTTGATTTGAATGTGAGCGGCAGCGCGGCGGCGGGTCGCCATGCTGCTTCCCGAGACGCGAGGCTGGTCGGGGAGACGGGCCCCGGCCGCCAGGGACCCTCCCTGCGGGCCCGCTCCGCTCCCCCAGGGCCTCTCCTCCCCACCGGCTCGACAGGTGACCGTTCCGCCGCTCGAAGCCCTCCTCCTTGGCTCCACGGAAAAATAAAGTTTCATTCTGCACCCCCCTCCCCAAAACACACTTTGGAAGAAGACGGGCGCCCTTTCTCGGCCCCGTCTCCCCACGTCTGGAAGCCTTGTAGGCAGCCCGCCCAGACTCCCTCGCACTCCCAAAGCGAGCGCCCAGAGCGCTGCTGGACTCGACTCGCCTCGGTGAGACGCCAGAACAAAACAAAAATTAAGAAAGCAATAATGAAATTTACAGACAACCGCATTCTCGGAGCAACCTTTCGCATCCGGCTGCGGAACCCACTGCCTGGATTCCTAGGAAGGTCTCACATCCCAGTAACTCCTCAATTACCCTAATGCCTTTCTCCTTCCTTTTCCAGCCCCCCGCCCCTGTTCAAGCTCTCATATATGTATTTTTTATTTTTTTTTAATCTTTAGGGAAAGTAGAACTGCAAGGAAAACGCCTAGAGATTGAACACTCGGTCCCAAAAAAACAAAGGTAGGAAAGAGCTCTTCTCTGGGGAGGGGGTGGGTCAGCCTGGGGGCGCTGAGAGGCTGTGTTCAGGGGTCCATGGTGTCTCCAGTGGAAGAAACCCATTACTGGCCTTTCCACCCCCAACTCCGGATGTTGGGGGCAGGGAGGGAAGATTGGCTAAGATCTTGTAATGGGTGGTTTACAGCTTGTAAAAAAAATAAGCTGGGGCTAGGGTGGGCTAAGAGATGTTTCTTGGAGAAGTAAAAAAATCAATAGGGGAGAAGCCTTGAGTTTGTTCAAGGTGTGTGAGGCCATTTTTGTGGGGAAGCTAAAAACCTTGAACAGTTTAGGCTCATGGACATTTCTGCAGCTTCCTAGCAGGCCTCACCCCCCCCATCTCACCATAATTCTTAATTGGCTTGGCGGTGGTGGGGGTCCCCTTCGATTCTCTAGGGGAAATGGAAGGAGTTCCTGCCCCCAAAAGAATTCTCTTTAGGCTTGTGCTATATTTATATTTCTGCAACAGGCAAGGACATTAGATTTTTTCACAGACCTCCTATCCCTATTCCCTTACATCACACGTCCTCCCCTCTCAACTGGGTTGTGCAAAGAATATGCTTTTGGCTGTACAATCCTTTCGGAGCACCCCCCACCCCCCCTTCAGCCCATTGTTACAAGGGGACCATCTGGGGTGAGAGCTTTGTGTTCAGGCTGTGAGCTGGGGCTCTTTGGAGGGTCTAGAACTCCCTGGATGAATGGGAAGGGTGTGTGTGTCCCTGTCGGTGTGTCTTTTCTATCCTCACTTCAGCAAAATGGGTTACCTGGTGTGTGTGTTACCCCCAAATATTTCAAATCTTCCATTGAACTCTGGCTGGGAAGTATAAGGGCAGAGTCTGCTTTCTGAAATCTGACTTTAAACATGTTGACAGTGCACTTTAGTCATGTTGCAGCCCCCAGTAAATCTTTGATTCTTTCACTACCCCCGTCTCCTCATTTCAACTGGAAACTTGCTGCATTTCAGAATAGTGCCTGGCCTTTTCTGGTTGGGAAGGTAGAGGTGGGTGACTGCTTTTTTGGAGGCAGTTAAGTGGATCTAAAAAGTTTAATACCAAGAACAATCTGTTCAGTGATTTAGCTTGAGATATTTAAATAACTTGGAACTATTGTATCTACAGAGGATCAATATGACTTGTAACTATGTTTACAGAGTTTGTGATTTAACCTCCAGTGCTTGAAATACTCTGTTATTGGAAAGGTAATTAGAGTTAGGATTAAAGAGATAATCAAATGGAATGGAAGATAAAAAAGTCTTAGTTACTATTTTGAAACATTTCTTGGAGATGGGAATAAAATTTATTGAGAAGATTGTGGACATTAGAACTGAAAGCTGAATGTTTGAAACATGATAAAAAATATCCAGAATGACTGGAATTCCAAAATATGTGGGAATTTTTTCTTTTGCTCTTCAGCATGGCTTAAATTTTAAAGGGAATGAATTGAAAAGCAAGAGAAATAGCAAAACGTGATGAAATGGGACCCAAAACATTTATATTTTAATTTTCATGGTGCTGTGTATTTATGGATCTTTTTCCCTAAGCCATCTGCTTGCTTTCAAGCCATTTTTAGGCTCCTTGTTCTCTCCCAAATGCATTACTGAGGGCCCTTTTGAGTTGGGAAGGGGTGGGGTTTGTGAAAAGAGTGGGTACAAAATCTGCCTTTCCACACCCATATTAAGTTTGATCTTTTGTGTGTTCTCCCTTTCCTGAAATAATTTGCGAGCACAAACATTGAGTCAGTTGTGTTTTATTTTATTTTTTGAGTAGTGGTGAAAAGGCACTTCATTTTTCTAGAATGAATCAATTTTTGAAGCTTTAGGATTTAAAAAAGGAAAGTTTGTTTTCATGAAGTCAGTATGCTCTATCATTTTGTGTCCTTTGGGGAAGCATGTGGTGGTATGGGCTTTTAGTCTGTCAGAAAAGTATTTTTTCAGTTGGTTTGTTACTGTTTTTTTCTCATGGATGTATAGAACAGGAACTACTTAATTAACTGACTAATATTTTAAGCAAAATGAACAACTGCATATACATCTGTGTATATATATATATGTTCTAATGTTTTCACCGTTTAAAATAGAGGAGAATTTTTCTTGATGTACTCGGTTCCAAATATGACTTTAAACATTTCTAAGATATTCATAAAAATCTAACAAGCTAAATGGTCCTGGTTTTTGTTGTTGTTTTTTTTTACACAAACAAGATGATATTGTTACAGCAGTTAACCTCTGAACAACCCTGATTTTGATGTATTAATATATTTTATTCTAATTTTATCTATTTGACATATATAATTTGTATCTTTTTAAGAACCCCAGAGACTGAATACTATACATTTAAACTGAAAACATTAATTTGAATTTTTTAAACAGGTGACATTAAATTTCTCTGCGATCACCTTCTCAAACCCCCTCTTTGTCAGTGTTGGAATTTTGATAACGATTTCAGCTTTTTGTGAAGAATTTGTATATATTCACTCTCAAATAATTAGGATAAACAAGTAAAACCAAGAGCATTTTAAATACAGCTGTAGGAGAGGGTTTGTATATGTGTTTTATTTTGAGATATAAGAGTAGTTAAGGTAAAGGGGTATGGTGCTAGTGAGTCTTGTTTATTTTGGGAAATGGCTTGCTTTTTAAGGGAATTAAACTTTGTTTAGTTTGCCACTATGTCTGCCTTTTTCTAGAGGAATGTGACCTAAAGATAGCATACCTACTGTCAACTGGTGTCATCAAAATAAAAGATGTTGCTGTTAAAAAAATGAGAGATGTACTGCATTTTTCTCAGTGAAATGTGTTCTAGTTTAAAATTTGATTTCCTTAGGCAGGTTAATGGTTGTTCTTTAACTTGTCTTAAAATGAGGTGGGCTAAGACTTTCCTTAAATTTCCAACTATTTAAAAACAGACACACACAAGGATTGGTCTCAGCCTTGTAAGTGTGAGAACTCTCAGAAGAGAAAATGTCCAAACTTAATTCTAATTTTACAGTTTAATTTTCTCAAGTCAGCAGCTTTAGAAATCTCTGTGAAGGGATGTCTTGTAAGTGGCAAACATATTCTTTTTAATATTAAGTGATTTGTGGAGGCTCTGAAGAAATATTTAGGTCACTAAATGTTTTCAAAACAAGCTAACATTTTTTGCCTTCAGAAATGGATATGCCTTTAGAGAAAACTGTTCTTAGGGGCTGAAAATGAATTATGAAGGAGGTTAAGAAACAAGGGAATGTCTTTTCAAAAAAACAGAAAGGGGTAAAAAGTACTAGAGTGGGAGGATTTTCAGGCACTTTTGCTTTAGTGGTTGTGGTTGTCAGATGTATCTTTCAACAAGTATGTATTCAACAAGTATGTTTAAAGTAGAAACAGTTTATGACACTTGCAGTAAAGAGGTTTTCTTATGAATATTAGGTTAGTTTTTTTGGGCTTTAAAATAAGTTTTAAAATGTTTGATTCTTAAAAACTTCTGCATTATTTGGAGGAAAGGTGGCAATCAGTTTACTGTCCCCACTTTAATTTCCACCAAGAAAGTAAACTTAACAAATTCATAAATTTTCTTCACTACTAGAGAAATCCTTGTTATTTAAGTGCTCAGCATTTCAAAATTATTTTCCTAAGGAGGGTGGTATTTGACTATCCTTTGAAAGAGTTGTATGTTTCCAGAACCCTATTTTCTGACTCAAAGGAGAAAGATGAAATTTTACTCCAGTGGTTTCCCAGATGGAGAACTTTTGAGTGAAGAAGGGGAAGAATTGTAATTCTCATCACTTATTTATTCAAAGTACAGTTAACTCTTCCAAATGTAAAAAGTTTTAATGGCACAGCTTTTGGTGGAAAAAGAGCAAAACATTCTCATAATTATGTTTTAGAGATGAAGTACATGACATTAGCCATTGGAAGAATTTTGATTCAAAGGTTCTGAGCCTCTAATCTTTTAAATTACCTTAATATATGTCATTTGAGTCTATTTTATGTATTTGGGTACTTTTAAGGCTTATTTTTGAATTTATTTATTCCAGACTCGACTGTATAACATCCAGTTGACAAAGATAGGCTAGAGAGTATACAATTTTAAACGTTAAAAAAAAATAAATTTCAGATCTGTTTTATTGAGTGAAAAGGGGGACCAGCAAGTGTTATTTGTTGAAGTTTAGGGGTTTGTGTTGAAGAGATACATGTATTGGTTACACCTCCGTTGATTTTTGTGTGGGGGGTAGTAGTGGTGGTGATAACTGTCATTAGAATAAATGTATGAACCAGAGGCGTTTGAAACACAGACATTTTGCCAGCTTTTAGAATTTAAATTCAGTTTTGTTCTCTCGCCGTCCTCTTAAAAGATTCTTAAAATGTGGCTAATGTCTTCCAGAAAGTGCAGCTTAGGTTTGGGGATGGGAGCGTTAGAGAAAGGGGGAGGAAAAAAAGCAGCAGGGGAGACTGGAGAAATCAGACGAGTTAGTCCTGGGTTGGAAATTCCAGACGGGGGAAAAAAGAGGCAGCGGGGTG